TATTATTCACTATTGTATCACAAGAGACCCATCTGCATTTCATTTCATCAGCTCCGCCTAGACAGATTGGATACTACTCACTGGAGATTCTGCCTTCCTCCATGCCCCCTGTCTCTAGGTTCCCTCTTGAAAGCTTGTAAGCCAGTCACTTCTTGCCTTTGTAGCCCTACCCCCCCATTTTGGGTAGCCAATGTCCAAGTTGCCCATCCTTGTCTACTCTGTGTGTGGAAGGGATGGGAATGATTCTTGCTGTAAGGACTTGTTCCCTCTTTTGAGTTACTGAATCCATAGGTGTAAGTCAAGTCCATCAAATTGTATCAGATTACTCTTTTTTTTTCCTTTTCTTTCTTCTGGTTGAGCTCTGATCATCCAGTCATTGAAGCCAGGGTCAAGTGGGTATTATCTGCAAGTGTGGGTGTTCTTGTGCATAAGCCCTCTTTTTTTTATCAGCTGCACTCTTCACTCTCCACATTGTAGGGCTTAGCTCTCCACTTCATTGCTGTTTTTCCCTTACTTCCCCTTATTGGTGACGAGCATGGTCACCAATCAGAGCGTGTATTCCCACTGAGTCTTAGTCTTGGAAGGGGGTTTGCACTGAGGGGACCCGACCACTTGCCTTGATGTTTCCTGGGCAAGCAACTCGTTTGTTCTTGTAGTAACAGCCCGTCTGCCTCTATTGGTTTGTATTTTTCCTGTAGGTCTTTCTTTCAAGAAGTATCTTCTGTTCTTCTAGCCACTTCAGACTGGTTTGCTCCTCCTTTCAAGTGGGAATTTCCCATCTCTGGAGATCTGGATGTGGTTCAGGCTTCCACCTATGGTCTTATGTATTGCAGAGGCTCCGCAGGAAGCCTCCTTTACTGGGCACGTTATAGCCCTATTTTAGGTATTCCAATCAGTTATAGGCAGAAGACAGACTTATAAGCTTTCTATGGTGATGTTTCTGACTATTCCTTTCTCTCCCCCTCCAGTGTCTATTTTATATTATAATACAAAGAAAACCAAGATTCAAAAGACAGCCAAGCATCTTAACGTTATTACCCCCTTTTCCCCATTCGAACCATGTCTCAATCTCTGTATCCCAGAGCCCTGTAGTTCCAAGGTTGTGCATACATCATTCTTTACCTCTGTCCCACTTAGCCCATTCAAACATGCCTAATTGTTCTCCCATCTGCTTTGTTCTTCCATTCCCCTCTCCCTTCTTGTATATTGCCCCCCTCCCTAGCACGCAAGCTATCCTGTGTCTAATCCCTACCCTGTGCTCCACCTTCCCCTCCCTCCCTTCACCCACCCCCAACATCCCAGCAATCAACAAAGAATTCCCCCCACCCTCCTTTAGTATGGGTTCTTTTTCTTAGTCTTTTACAGTAGTGGGCCTATGCAGTATTCCTCTTTTTGTGACTGACTAATTTCACTCAACATAATGTCCTCAAGGTTCATCCATGTTATGTGGTGGCTTTGCCGCTTCCTTAGTATTCTTCAAGGGCTTGGGTTTTTTCTTCAG